GAGCTTCGGAACGAACTGCAATCGAAGTGTGCAAGATCGTAGGATTCTTGGATATTTCGGGTATTCAAGTTTACGGTATCCTGGCAAGGATATACTACACTTGGACCTTGAAAAAAAGAAAGAACACTACAGATTCCAAATTGTAAAGCATGCAGGAGGAAATTAAAGGATTTTAATTATTGCTTTTGCTCCATTGCCTGCAAGGTACAATATTTGCATGCCATTACTTATTAAATATTATGTATAATTTCTTTTCTTTTTTTGTTGATGTTGTTAATTATTTGGAAGTCATCAAAATAATTTTTTATTTATTTTTACAGTATGATCATTTACTTGACGACCCTCAAACGATGGAGACAAGAGCGGATGAGATTTACTTGAGAAATAATAGTTTAGAGACAACGATAGAGGCAAGAGCGGATGAGATTTGCTTCAGAAATAATACTACAATTTCAGAGACAGGGTCCAAGCGCAGAAGGAACCGGAAAAGAATTCCGACAAGGGCACCATTTTGGTGTGATTTTCTACAGCATTGCAAAATGTTAGTCTGCTGTTTTAGTTTTAAGGTGTGGGAAGAGGCTTTTGATATATGAATGTAAAAGCTTGTGATATTTGAGAAGTTGAAGACTAGATATATGAATTTTTGTGTTTCGTCCTCCATCTCTTGCATTTTGTTTCTATATATGCATATCTGCAATTTTGTTTCTATATATGCATATCTGCAATTTGATTAAAAAGAATATTATGTAATTTTTGGTCTGGCCTCGAGGAACTTATTTGTAGTTACTACTTCAAGCAATATGGTCCATTCCGAAGTCTCGAATACTAAAAGAAAAGAGCGAAAGTTAAACTTCGGAAAGTCGAGAAAACAGGAATTACATTACACTAAAAGAGACTGGTCTAGCTTGGTTGGCAGGTGATATGGTTTTGATCACATAATGCATTCTGGTGAGTTGTGCACACTGGCTGCATGTCACTAAAATTCCTCCAACTTCAAACATGATCACATTACATAAATAACAGCTTGATAACACAATATCTTAGTAACAATTAAATTCAAGCCACTCTTAACCAAAATACAAACTAATGTCCCCATAAACTCAATCAACTTCCCAAGTCCAGCTAATTTAAAAACAACAAACCATCCTTTGCAGGGTATCATGAATTTTCCGCATTATCATGTCACTCCACATCACGAAAAAACTCAAGAACCTTTAAGAATCGTATCACAGTTATCCGAAATACAAGTGTTCCCAATTTTGACCCCGTCCGACCCCAATCCATCCCCACCATTCATTTTCGCCTCCGAAAAAACCTTACCGTCACCTGACTTCCGCCTCTTGTAAACCCTCCTTTTAGAACCGCCTTTTTTTCTTTTTAGGGGCCCCCACTTTAGTGCTATCCTTCTTGATGGTGGTACTAATTCCGTTATTAGATGACTTCTTTTTCTGCGGGAGAACTGTGTAGAGAGAGTTGCTCGTCCTATCTTCAAAGTTGGAGTCAGATGATTGGATGGCTATCATGGCTGTTCGAGCAGCTTTGAACGCGGCTTCCTTTTTTGTGCTTGCCAAGGCCCCAATGTATTTGATGCCCCCAAACTCGACCACGCATGAGTACGCTGATGTCATTCCCGGATTCTCTACCTTGTGGCACTCGTATAAGGGGATGGCGTAGTTCATCTTCTGTGCATATTCTTGCAGCACGTTTTTGCATAAACCCGTTTCTTGCTGAGATGTGGAATGCATGTGTAAACATGTACAATATCGCAAGCATAATTTTAAATAAGAATAATAGTGGCGATGGCGAAATAAAAGAAAGTGTTTCTTCTCAGAACAAACTCTCTCAAGAAAAAACATGTATACTTCACTCTAAGAGATCAAAGGAGATTAATATAAGCTGCGAAAGTTGTTAAGGAGACGTGCAGAAACAAAGAGCTTACACCTATTTTCATATAATTTACAATCAAAAATATTTAGCACGAATAGTCAGTTACACACAAAATGAATATCTACCATTTTCGAAATCATTTCAGATGCTTTTAACGAGTTATGCAGGCAGTTAAAATTCAGCCTTAGCAAGTATGAAATGAAGAATGGTTATACTAAATTTAACGAGCTGAAATAAAAAGTTAAAAAGTTCAGTTTTATGTCATATCCACGTTATTTGAAGTCTTCTAACATTTATCAACACAGATAATAGTATTATTTGAACAATTATTGAGACACACACGAAAACTACAAGATCTCTAACAGAACCACCAGTTGAGAACTTCGAACTCCAACTATTTATAAAATTCATCCAAAGAAGAACAATTTACTAGGGACAAAAGCAAACTAATATATTTTGAGGGAAAGATTACATATTGACAAGCAGATTACTTCACATAAATCCAACCTCGAAAGCACCGTACCTAAATGCCGTAAAGAGTTAAAACAGAAACTACTATTTAAGACAATTACCACAGGTGGGAGGGAGATCCCAAATTTCATATCAGCAGAGTTGGCGAGTTCCACTAGAGCAACTTCGGCTGCTGACTGCTCGGCTGCCTTGCGGTTGAAAAAACTGGGATGAGAATCATATCTCTCATTGTTCACGATCACAGTTGATTTAAACAACGGCTCATGGGAAGGGCCTTCCTTGATAGTTTCATAAACTGGAGTTGTGAATCCAGCCTTTTGGCAATATTCACTGTTGTTTAATCCCTATATTTTCATTTCATACTCAAATTCAACAACCGCCTCATTATCAAAATTACAAAATATACCCACAAGAAAACCTAAATCCCAAATAATACAGATTCATACTTGCATTACAAACTATGAGCTTGACAACAAAAATTACAGAATAGATTTCTACATGAGCATTGAGATTCATGAACAAGAAAGAAGAATGACGTGTACTACCTGCAGATTTAGCTTTCTCTTTGATTACAGAAGAATCTTGATTACAACATAATGAATTTTCCTGCTGCCTCTTCGATCACTGTTTTTCCGGCTTCGAACTTATTAGTGCTAATCCATTCTTGGGTTTTTTTTTTTTCCAACTCCGGCCGCCATGGGGGATGGCCGGAAAAAGTGCAGGCCACCAACACAGGGAAGAGAACGCTTGTCAAACTCCGGCGGCGGGCCGCCGCCTGCGAAAGTTGGCTGTGGGCAGGACGGTGAGAGGAAGTTGCTGGACCGTGGAGAAGGGGATTAGGGATAGGAATGTAGATTCTTTAATCTTTTTATTTATATATTTATATATTTTTTTATTTTTATTTTTTTTGGATCGGTGTGTTTAATACTTTTAATGTATTATTATTATTTGTGTTTTAACTTTCATGTATATTTTAGGTCACGAAATTTTGGGAAGAATTTATAACACCTTAATCAATTAGGAATGTGATTGTGAGACATGAGACTTAACTTCAACATTATCTAATTCTTAACTAATTAGGCAACTTATGTTTTACTCTATCTATAAATACAGCATTATTCTCTTTTACTTAATTATTTTGCTATCAAAAAATTCAGTGCAAAATAAAATTTGCTTTTCGACTTATATATATATATTATAATATAGTTGAGAGTTTTTTTGTAGGTAAAAACAAACAATAATGCCGAGTATGTTCGTGCCCGATTGGTTGCTGCCATGGTTGAAAACGTCCTTCTACAAAGAGAGGGGTGCGTGTGGGATACACAATGGTAAGTATCGTACGTTGTTTTGTGGGGTTTGCATGGGAGAACCTTACTGTGAGGCTTGCTGGAATTCGTCCGAACGACATGGACTTGGAGAGTGCCAAAGACATCAAGGTCATTACCCAATTTTGCAGGTAAGATTAATTCTCTTTTTCCATTTTTTTTAATAAAAAAGGAAAAATATTGGTATTAATATCGTATTTTCCTATGTCGTCCATACTAATTAGGTCCGTAGAGCTTCGGAACGAACTGCAATCGAAGTGTGCAAGATCAGAGGATTATTGGATATTTCGGGTATTCAAGTTTACAGTATCAATGGCAAGGATATACTACACTTGGACCCTGAAAAAAAGAAAGAACACTATAGAGATCCAAATTGTAAAGCATGCGGGAGGAAATTAATGGATCCCAATTATTGCTTTTGTTCCATTGCATGCAAGGTACAATATTCACATGCCATTACTTATGAAATATTATGTATAGTCTGTTTTCTGTTTTTTTTTTTTTTTTTTTTTTTT